CAACTTCCCATTTGGTAAGTTTGGCTTCTTGTGGACTTCTTTGCTTTGGAAACTGGACTGTGGGCTATCAAGTCTTTAGTTTTCTTTTCTTGAATATCCAGGACCCATAGTTTAAATTATGGGACTGTGTTTTGACTACTTCATACTTGAATGATTCTTCTCCCCTCTTCACTGCCTGCTTTCTCCAGTCCCCCCAATCCCACCCTCTCCATACATTTTTGACTTTTGTAGAAGGAATGGAAGATTGTTTATGTACTGGTATATTATTGGCTTGGGGTTTCAAGAGTAGCTTTGTTTAAAAGAAAAAAAATACTCAGCATTTTCTAAGGTAAGGTGAATTACCTAATTAAGGTGCTTTATCTTCTCCTTTTCATGTATATTGCTTCCCTCTCCCCCTAATCCCTACCTGAAAAAAGTAAATTTTCAACATTAAACATTTTCAAAATGTTATTTATGATCTTAGTTGTGAGGTACATTGTATGTTGTTGGCAGATAAGCTTGGAATATTATTTAAGCTGATGATTTCTCCTTTGGCAATATAGATGCTTTTTCTAAGGAATAGTTATATATTGGTGTGTAAAAGGAACAGCTCTGAGGACCACATCCATCATTTGTCCTGCAGGCCAAATGCTAAGGACTGAAGCTGGTTGCTGTCCACTATTGAACATTGAAAGCGGGGAGATGGTGCTAAGTTTTTACTATTGTCTTAGCCATTCTGGTGCCTTTAATTCATCTATCCTGAGTTCTAACTGCATCAGACACTGGCTTACTCATGTGGTTTTAAAATTAGTCTGATTTTTCTATTTAGGATGACTAGCAGACTTCTAGGAAGTTTGAGAAGCAATAGGTATTCCGTGGGTAACCCGGGCAGGCAGCTGTCAAATGAAAAACTTTATGCTTCAGGCTTTTTCATTTGTATATATTTTTGAAAGCATGAAGAATTTATATAGGTTTGACTGTTGTTTGAAAACACCATAATGAATGTATAATTAACAGTATGTGAAAGTATTAACACTTAGCTAAAATTAGCTAAAAGGGAAGCTCTTTGCATTGGTTGTCTCTTACCCCTTAATCCTCCACAGCTGTAGTGTCATATTTATCCTTAACTTCGGCTGTTACTTCAGATCCTCTTAAACATTTGTATCACATCTCAAAACTGAAAGTTATTCATATACACTTTAGTTACGTGGATCAATAGTTTTACAGCTAAAGAAGGGGTCTTAAAATTGCTGCACTTAGTTGCCAGTATTTAGAAGATACAATTAAAAATTTTTTTTCCCCTTTGGATAGTATCTTTACTAAACTTTAAGCTTTTTTTTAAATTACATTTTTTATTTAAAACATTTTCTCTAGAAACTGAAGCCAAGATTACTACTTCACCATAAAGGTGCTTCTTCCACACTCAACTATTAGACATAGACTTGTGTGAGAACTTGAATGTAGGTGAGATTGTAGTCTAACCCCCTGATAAAAAATGAAGACGGCTTTTATTTGTGAAATGAGAAAGAGCATTTTCAAGTTTGTAGCCCTTCCTCCTTTGTCTTCCCCCACCTCAGCCTTTTAAATCTTCAGTTTTCATGCATTTTTCAAGTTGCATGTCCTGGGTCATGCCTGCAAAAGGTATACTCAAGCTGCATGCACTGCTTCAGTCAAGAGGTAACAGTCCCAAACAGCATTTTGGACACTTGTTTAAATTTGAGACATTAGTGCCAAACTGAAACTTACTCAGTCCTTCAGTAAGTGTTTCCGTTACTAGAAAACCCCTAGGTTGGGCTAGGTATCTCTGTAGGTACAGTCCAGAACTTACGCCAGTGAAAGAACTGCTTCTCACTGAGCCAGTCTGCAGTATTCCAAGATGACTATGAAGGTTTCACACAACATATTTGTGATAAGGCTGCGAGTCATGTTTTGTTACTTTTCTGAAGTGTGCGATGTTTTGGCAGTGTCCATACTGTACAGCTCATCCATGATGCAATTATGCAAAATCCAAATAATTGTTGTTGTGAATAGAAAACAGTTGAAAAGGTCATTGTTTAATTTTTCAGTGTAAATATGTATATAATTAAAATGATTTGTTTTCATATTTGTAGTATGTGTATAATTAAAATGTGTATCTTTGATAAATGAATGTTAGGCATGTAAATATGCAACCAGAATTACCGTAGTGGGTGGGGGAGGGGGAGATTAGAGTTAAATTGTTGGTAAATAAGTATGAATAGAAATTATAGCAGTTGGAAAGCCTTGCTGCTAATTAGCCTTGTGTCCTTGGATATGTCAGTTCACCTTTCTGGGTTTTGGTTTCCTAATCTTTAAAACGAGTGTTGGACTGCTACTGATATCTAAGGTCTTGTCTAGCTCTAAATCCCGTGTTTCTGTATTACAGGCAGAATGTCCCTGACCCATGTACTTTGAGAGTTTGGAAGGGACTTCATAGGACTCCATTCCACCTTCCCAGTTATCCAGCCTTCATTTGAAGACCTCGTTGAGCCCCTCTGCACAGATCCTTTTTCTTACAGCCTCTAAATCTTCCATAAATTTCTCATAGGAGTTTCTGTCCAACACTAGGGGCCTTATGATAATTTGTAGACAATCAGTGTTGCTCCAGTACAGTTCATTAAGCCTCTGAGGTCTCTTCTTGTGTGCAAAGCACTGTTGGTAATATGCCATTGGCTACTTAAACCATGCGATAGCCCTACAAATAAAACCTCCGTTTCCTCTAGGCAAAACTTGTAATTTTTGGATATACCTTCTCAAGTACCCATTAGCCAAGAGGCTTGCTTAACCTCATTAATAAGCTTTTATTCTGATTTGTGGTTGTTTTAGTCATGTCCAACTATTTACGACCCCATTGGGGGTTTTCTTGGCAAAGATACTGGAGTAGTTTGCCATTTCATTCACCAGCTTGTTTTACAGATGAAAAACTGAGGCCAACAGGCGTAAGTGACTCACCCAGGGTCACACAACTAGTAGTGTCTGAGGCCAGTTAGGAACTTGGGAAGATGAGTCTGATTTCAGGTCTGGCACTTTTCTAAGCAGGTAGGAGTCAGTGTTTCTGAATACTAAAGGAGATTCACTCCATAACCTCTTCACAGAGTTATTATCAGCACCTCGCATTTCTCATTTTGTCCACCCGTTTTGGACCCAAGAGGTCAGCCACCTTTTGGAAGCTGTCCTTACGATCCTTAAACTTCCTTGTTTCTTTTTCCCCCGACTTGATTCTAGGTCCTTTCCCACCTTGATCTTACCACTGTTCTATGAGGATGACTCTCAAAATTACATACCCAGTCTTTACCTTTCTTGAGCTTTGGTTCCCATCTACACCTACTTGCCGGTGCCCTTCCTACATGTCTGCAACTAATCAACACGTATGTAGTGGAACTCACCTTGCTCACTAAACCTGCCCCCTTTTCCAACTTCCTGATTTACTTTGATATTACTACCTCATTCAGGCTATAAGTTTGCCATTTTAAATGTCTCTATTACTTAAAACATGTACTCGTCAATTCTAAATGTTCCTCTAGCTTAGCTTTAGACCTGATATCATACTCCTCCCAGCCCCCATACACTTAAAACTATTCACTACCCTAATTTGGGTCATCACTGCTCATTTGGATTATTGTAATAACCTCCTAATTAGTTTCTATTTCCAGTGGCAAGTCCCTTAACAGTCTATCCTTAATACAGCTTTTAAAAGAATTTTCTCAATATACTCATATGATAGTCATACCTTTAACTCCTTAGAGCCTGGTATTTTAAGGCCATTTATTTACTTTTCTAGCTGGATTCCATGTTACTACTCTTCATGTACTCCACTTTCCAGGCAAACTGCTAGCCTTACCTCTGCATGTTCATTCAAGCCTTCCTTCTCCCATGCCTAGAATACAAGCCCACATCTCTGGGAACATTAATGTCTTGTCTTCAGGGTTCAGCTTAAGGGCCGCCTCCTCACGTAGTCTTCTCTGCAACCCTCCAACTCAAAGTGTTTAATGAAATTTTCTTAAAACATTCTGCTGCCATACACAAAACAACGCAAGGTAGAGTTGTCATGTCTCTACCACTGAACTCTGAAGGCAGGAACTGTCATTTTTAATCGGTCCCCTGAGGATCACATAAATGGTAGATGCATGATGTTTGCTGAATATAATTGAAAATAAAGTTCATTGTAATTGGTACAGCAATTAAAATGTGTATGTAAAAAACCTAAGAGTTAACATGATTTTAGGGCTTTTAGTTTTGAAATGTCAAAGGCAGCTAATATGAGGGCCATTACTATTATAACAAGAACATAACCCAACAAATAGAAAACAAATGCCAGAAAATAGGAAAATCAGCACAAATTAGGCCTTTAATCCTTTTAAATAATAAATTCAAACAATGTTTTAAAAAGCACACCCAGTACTTGGTTCCTAAACTCTGGGAAAGCAGAACTTACTAAGGAATGTAAAATTAAATACATTTGTTGAGATTATTTCAGACACTGACTTCAACATACTTCTACTTTTAAATATACACTCCAAAAGGCTGCAAACATTTTCCCAGATTTTGAAGGCCAAACCAAATTACTTAACTGGCAAAAGGACAGCTGTAAAAATGAGAAGGACTACTAAAAATGATTTACCTAAAGGTCTGAAATAAAACCCAAATGATGGGGAAATTATTAGTGATAGTTGGATAATATGTAGTACTTAGATATTATTTAAATAGCTTCTTTTTTGAAGTTCACATAATGGTTCAGAATAAACAGCACTATAGACACATCAATGTATCCCCAAGGAAAAGCTAGAAGCCACCAAAAGTTTTGGCAGCAAGACAGCAACGTAAACAAGGAACTGAAGTACACTTCTCTCAAATATCATTATAAAATGTGTTGCGGAGAGAAAATCTGTTGGTTTCATCTAGTCATCTTATCAATTTCAAAGAGCTTTTCTCATAACCTTTTCATAGTACAAAAGAAAAAAAAATCCAGATGAAAAATAAAAAAAACAAAAAAAACCCATAAATCTGTCTGGCCAGCCACACTGCAGAATTCCTGGAGACGATTTATTCACTGAACATACCTTGTAAGTAGCCAGGGTTATTAACAGATAAAACATTATTCAAGATACTATACAAGTACAAGAGTGCCTCAGAGGCTCTGCTCTTTAAATATACAACACTAAAATCGATTTGCAGACTTTCCAAATTGTTCAGTTCATTAAATAATGCAATTTCAAGACTGGGTGAATTTTCTGTTGAGCCACTGGTTACTTCCATGAAGAGTGAGAAAACGTGAAAAGTGTTTGAAGGGGAAAATATCCATTTAATAAGCCGTATCACATTCGAGCGTGGGGAAGAGTTAGAAAGTTAGACTGCTACGGTTCTTTAACCACACCTACCAAAGCAGGTCTCAAGGTTCGCCCATGTAGCTTATACCCAACTTTGGTTACTAGTGCAATGGTGCCAGGCTCCTTCCCCTCTACTGGAGTATGGAACAAGGCTTCATGTTCATAGGGATCAAATTTGGCACCAACAGGATCTAGTTTGAGCAAACCATGCTTTTTGAACACTTTTTGAATCTGGACTTCAGTCATGACAAGACCCTCATACAGGTTCTTCAAATGTGGGTTTTCTTCCTTTATTTCCTCTTTTGGGACACTTGCTGTTGCCTTTTCCAAAATGTCAGCAACTTCTAATAAATCTTTACAGAAACCTTGAATACCTAAAAAAAAAAAATGCAATTGTATTTTTAATATCAACTCAAAACTTTATAATTTTACACAGTAATCACAAATGTTATCTGTATATGCACATAAGGATAAATTTGTCAGAAACAGTATTAAAGCAGCTTGATACAGCTGGAAGGGCACAGGACTTGGAATCCAGCCCTGGCTCTGGAACTTAATAGTTGTGTGACTTGGCAAGTCATACCACAAGGACTGTATCTTTTTTCTCTATACAATGGGCAAAATACTTGCATTCCCCTATCTTCCTTCTCCTACCTGGGATGATTTGCTACAGAAATCTGAGATGCCACAACTTCTCTAGGCCTAAAAAGTTAGGGGCAAAAAACTAGATAATTACGAAGGTGCCTTCTGGCACTGACATAAGATTCTACATATGGTAACATTTATTTGTATACGGGGTGAAAAAGCATGAAAAATTTTAAATATGGCTCCAAATCAGGGAGATTTAGAAAAATAAAGCAAACCTGAGGTTCTTCCAACTAACAGATTGAAAAGATAACAAAAAAAGTAATGACAGTATATTGTGGCTGCTGTGGGCAAATAGGCCTGTTTATATGCCATTAGTGAGCTATGATCTGGTTTGGCCATCCTGAAAGTAATTTGGAATCATGTCCCCCAAATTACTAAACTGAGGCCTATTATCCCCAGGAGATCAATGAAAGAGGGAAAGCTCTTTTTATGTACAGCACACTTTTTAAAATGGTGGCAAAGAACTGGAAACTAAGGAAGGGACCATTTATTTAAGAAGAGTTAAACAAATGATGGTATATGAATGTAAAATTATTATGCCATAATATGACAAAATGGATTGATTTTAGAGAAATCTAGGAAGCTTTGTATGAAATGATGTCAAAGTAAATGAGCAGAACCAGGAGATCAATTTATACAATAACATTATAAAGAGAAACAACTTTGAAAGACCTGAGAACCAAGAATGTTACTCACTTCGTGACAGGTGATGGATTCAAGATGAATATATGCATTTCTGGACATAGCTAACATGGGAATCTGTTTTGACTATGCATATTTGTTACAAGGGCTTTGTTATTCTTTTTCTTTTCCGTGGGAAGATAAAAGGGAGACAGAAAAGAGAACAGAAGCCAGAAAGTTTTGCAGACAAGTACAACAGTTTTTGAAAGTTACAGATCAAACTATTATAGACTTTCTTAAAAAGTTATATATAAACAGAGACTTGCAGTTTCATGTACAATCCTCTTTTCTGTTCTACTATTCACAGGAAAATGTCCATGGACACTTTTTTTCCCTTTTCGTTCTTTTTTAAAAGGCAATTGGGGTTAAGTGACTTGCCCAGGGTCACAAAGCTAGTAAATGTCAAGTGTTTAGTCTGAGGCCGCATTTGAACTCAGGTCTCCCTGACTTCAGGGCTGGTGCTCTATCCACTGCGCCACCTAGCTGCCCCTGACAACTAATTCTTAAGAAACTTTTAGGGGAGGGTAGAAAAGTTCCCACTTGTCCTTCTCCCCACACTCCCAGAAATGGTTTGTGAAAACAAAAGGCATCAATGAGTATTTTCAAAAAGAAAAACTTTCAGGAAGAGTTTGGAAAATAAGATATACAAATGAAAGGAAAAAAATTGGTCCATTTCAATTCCATTAAAGGAATGAGAAAAACTACATTCTGAAATACTGAGTCTTAAAAACAGGAAGCTAAGTGCAGGCATACAAATGAAACTTAGCTGAGGGTTTGGTTTTTTTTTTTGGGAAAGCTAGCAAATTAAATACTTGCTGAATGCCTACTATAAGTTTAGGTTTTGTGACATGATCCCTGCCCTTAAGGAGCTTAATTGGGAAGATAAGTCAAATAGATACAAAATTTAAAATAGAATTCAGCATGTAGCCACCAAATTACAGGTAGCTTTCAAGTTTTCTTACATGTGGCTTCAAAAATAAAATGTTCAAATAATAAAGTGATTATTAGGGAAGAGAAAAATAAGAGAATAAGCATGTATTAAGTGCCTACTATATACCAGGCACTATGACCCTTTGAAGTAGGTGCTGTTATTTTCCTCATTTTACATTTGAGGAAACTGAGGTAAACAGTGGTTAAGTGAAGTATCTGAGTAAACTGAAGCTTCCTGATTCTAGGCCCAGAGCTCTATCCCCTAGTCACCTAGCTATCAAAGTGACAAAATGATTAAGTAATGTACTGCCAATTCTCACCTATAATACTAAGTACAGATTATTAGAATCCTGGATAATTTTTAAACATGTAACAACAAATGTACTTGGAAGAGAAAGTACAGTAGATCTGTAACAGTTCATTTATATGTGTTACTCCTTCCCAGAAATTATCCCCCATTCAGCATAGAATGGAGGTGACCAAACTTTCACAAAAGCTATGCCAGAGGAGTACAAACTAGTGGGTCCTACCAAAATGGAAAGAACTCAAGTGACCTGGCAGGTGATCAACTATGCTTGTCAGTGAAGGACTAGGCTACCCAAGTTAAGGAAGGCTTATCAATAATGGAATTCTGAGTACTACAGTGACTTTGAAAGGCTGTCCACTCAAGCCTTTGTGAACTAGGCTGTGGACTAGGTCAGTGGAAGGAAGATACAAACTAAAAATCATTCAACAAACATTTATTCCGTTAATACTCTTGGGCTAAAGTAATTTAGAGTTTACCTTACAAAATAACTTTTGGCTAGGTAGAGGAAGAAAAAGAAGTCTTTAACATCTGTACTATTTTTCTTTGAGTTTATGAATTCAAGAAAAGGTCTTAACATTTTCAAATGCATCCTAGCTGTAAAGTTGAATCCCTACTGGAATAACTAAACTTCCTTTGTATCAACTTTTAAATTCAATGCCATACCTTAAGAATTAAATCTGATCCATTCCAGAGGCCACACAAAATAGCTGAGCTGCTTTCAGAAGGGTAGTAATAGTAGATGGCAAGTACACTGGTCTAGGCACCTGAGCACCCTGGTTCTATTCTTACCGACCTGGGTGATCTCAGGCCAGCTATTCTCACCTCCCTCTCTGGGCCTGTAAAAGGAGGGTATGAGACCCCATTTCAGCTGTTCCTTCCAGTTTTGAATCCTATCATTCTAGATTTATTGGTTCCACCAAATGACATAACTGTGTATTCCAGCTTAAGTGACAGAAGACTGAGGCCATCTAATGGCAAATCCCTTCTCTTCATCCTTCTATTTTGTCTTTTCCTTGCTGAAGGTACCCCTCTCCTCCATGACTTTGCTCTATAAACCACATACTCACACATCTTCAATGTCTCCCCTCAACTGGGTCATTTTCAGCCTAAAAACATAGTACTTCTGACTCTAATTTCCTTCCATTTCTCCCTGTGCCTCACTCTTCATATGGAATAAGCACTGGCTGAGTATCTGCTATGTGTGAGGCAATGTGCTAAGCATTTTACCAATATTCCTAAACCTACTTTTTATCCTCAACATTACCTTCAATCATTTCACTCCATTCCTAACCTGTCATCCTTGCTGCTCTGGTCTCACTTTCCTCCCTTCAAAAACCTTATGTAATGCTTACAATCAGTTCAACTTTACCCTTTCTTTTCTTCAAATCCTATCTGTTCATTTCCAAACATTCTAACTCCATGGGCTGCCTGCTCCTACTCACTTCTGGAAGAAGTGCTGATTGGGTCCAATACAAATTTGTTATCTATTTTCAAATGATTCCTCAATGCTACATGGCAACCTTTTCCTCCACCCTGACTCTCTATCTCCTCCAACAGACTGCTGTCACAATCATCCCCTTTTCTAATTTTCAACTTCACCATATCCTCTGGCTCTTGTTCTGTTTCCAAACATGCCCTAACCTTCCTATCGCTGGACTCTATTGTCCTCTCTCCTTCCTTTTTTCCAGTTACATTCTAAAAAACAAACAAAATAAAAATCTATACTCCTTGACTGAATTTTGTCACTTCCTACTTACTTCTGAACTCCCATTCTGTCTCCTATCATTCCAGGTTTATTGTTTCCAACAAATGGCATAACGGTATATACCTGATACATTCAAAACAGAGCTATCTTTCTTTTAAAACCCACCCCTTCTAAACCTCCTTATTTCTGTGGAGGGTACTCACTGCTAATATTTTAGTCATCCAGGTTAGCAACCCTGGAACCATCTTTGATTCTTCCCTCTTCTTCATAAATAGTTTATGAGTCTATCTACACAAACACTTCTTAAATCTCTTTCCTTCTCTACACGCACTCGGCCACCACTACGTGTTCCAGCCCTCCAATCACAGTGCTACTCCCTAACCCAAGGCCTTCCTTCACCCTCTCTAATTGTTTGTGCTCTAGTAGCTCCACATTACTTTGTATTTATGTTGTACTGCCTTCCTGAGGCAGTAGAGTTTATTTTCCTTGGTAGAACATAGGTTCCTCCAGGGTAGGGACTTTACTTTTGTCTTGGCATCTCTAACACCAAGTACAGTTCCTAGCATTAAGTATGTGCTTAACAAATGCTTGTGGTACTGGAATTTCAATTCAAACAGCACCCCCAAGCTCAAGAACACAATTGTTTCTTGGCAGACGTCATCTTGCTTAAAAGAAACCATAATGCAGAGATTCCCACTCAAGAAAATAATCAACAATTCACTGATTAAATAAGGGAAATTGTGAGGTTTATTTAAAATAAAATACAACCCCCCAATCCAATTATCAGTAATTTCCCTTTAAAGTAAAACTAGTCTTAGATAAAGAATGCAAAATAAAATATTCTGCTAGGAAACAAAGCTACAATTATACCAGACTGAGCTCTTTCTCTGTTGCATAAAGTGTTCATAATTTGTGCTGTCAGAAAAAATTCCCACACCAAGAAAGGCCCCTGCCCATAATCAAAAGCATTCTTTGTGTATTTATGTGAGTTTCTGGAGGACAAGGACTCTATCATATTCATCCTACCATGCATTAAAGTTTAAATATTGTTATTCTCTTCATAGAAACCTTGTGAGGGCCTAGAAGCATTTCCTCATTTAATCGATAAGGATCCTGAAGTTAAATGCTTGTTCAAGGTCCCAGAGTGAAGCCATAGGGAAGAGGCTGGGATCCTCACATTGGCCCCTTGCCTCGGCCTCTGAACAGCATCTTGCAAGGTGCTGGTAAAAAAACCACTTAAATAAACAATAAAACATTCCCTTTGGAACAAATAAGCAGAAGGTAGCAGAACATAATCCTACTCCAGTGTTTCAAGGATATGATTGTCAGTATAAAGACAACCTCTGCGAGTTTCTGTGTACACAAAATGTTTTGCAAGCAGCCAGTGCAGACCTTCCTTCTGTGAACTATTGAAGGTAGTCCTGAGAGCACATTGTCCCCAGGCTTGAAGCCTTTCCGGTCTGGCTGAAACACAGCAGAGCTTGTGTTCCATTAGAAAAGCCTTCAAGAACCAGGGTCTATGCTAAGTAAGAAGAGGCATCAAAGGAGGAATATAGGAGAGAATTAGCAATGACAAACTTCCCTAGAGCACTTGATGTTTGATTGTAATGATTTAATGACTAAAGCCCTACATCAAACACATTTGAAATCTTGGGTACATTAAGCTCAAAAAATCAATACCACAAAATATTATGTAACTTCTAATTATAAATGTCAGGTAACAGATCCATGTGATCCTCCCGAGTAGTACGATAATGAGTAGTACTACAAGCACACATCACTTCCTGTTATAGCTGGAGAGAAATACATAGTTTGAAAAGTGAAATTAAGGATTTATTTGCTTGATGGGATCTTCTAGGCTGTAAGTACTAATTAATTTCATATTATTCTTAAAGCCTAAATAATAGAGAAAATTCTAAGACTGCAAAAAAAAAGGAGATTTTATACATATTTGGTCAATCTTACTATCTTTGTAAATGTATGTAATCCCTTATCTCTAATTAAAAGCCACAAAACTTTAAAACATGCTCTATCCCTCCTACCAGTTGCACTTAGCAGCAATGCAGTATATTTGTTTAATGACAAAGATAGGAAGTACATTAGTCCTATTATTTTTTCATAGCAACACTAACTAGAAATGAAATATATACATGTGTTCTCTTGGGTATTTACCTATACTTGTCAAGAAGAGTTAAGTGATTTATTTGGCCAGTAAGCAGAATTAGGGCTGAATCCAGGTTCTCAGCCTCTAAATCCAATACTAATTGCTTAACATTTACATATAATTACTATATAAAAATTAGGCTTTAAGTGTCAGGTTAATTTTGTTGTATACTTCACTTTACCATAACACCAAACTCTTTGTATATAATCCTCCTCAGACACTCCCCAACTCAATGTAAATGTACCTCAGGGAGTGCTGCCTTGCATTTGCCCTGTTCCCTTCCCTATTCTGCTCAATGCAGCACCTGCTTCCTTTGGGTGTCCCCAACTACAAGTTTTCCAATTATTTTTTCTCACATTAAAAAAAAAGGGTAGAATTCCTGTGGAAAATAAGTTATACAACAAGTGTACTCTTGTGAATAAATGTGATAATTTTTGTATTTTTGAGGATCACCCACCATATAATTTTGCCTCTTCTACTAATTTCTGGCTTCGCCGTCGCAAGTTCTCCGTATCTGCTAAGGCTCGCTTGTACTTCTCCTAAGATAAAGAAAAAAAGTAGATTACTACCTTATATCACTGCTCCTTTGACAGTAAGTGATGGAAGAATTGATGGAACTTTCAAGCTAAGGATGGAACAAGATGCCAAACTATAAAACATTTTAATACTGCTACTGCCAATCCTTCTTTACCAAAAAATAAACATACCCAGGGGAAAAGGATAAAGAATAAGCAAGGATGAAAACCAAAACCTCATTAAATAAAGTACTCACACTCTTTAACTGACAAACACAGGATATTACTCCAGGGAGATTACAACATTCCAAATTTTCTACTCAAAAGTATCAGCAGAACAACTCATGATGCAAATGGGCATCAAATTTCATTTTCAGATTCTTTTTTGTGTGTGATGCCAAGGAGCTAGGAAAGCTCACCTGGATCTATCCCATCCCTCTCAAAAGATCCAGACTTGTTCAATGTCTCAGAGCAAAAAACATGTCTAGAACCTAGACCTCCAGGAAAATATTCTAATTTTAGAAACGATAGTTATTCTGAACTTGGCAAACACCAAATATGAAAATTTCCATAAGAACAAAAAAAGAAACTAAATATGAGGCTAAATCTCATTACATATACTTTAAAAGTATATATTCAATTAAACAAATTGGTTCTTAAGCTGTCTTCCTTGTGTTTCCCTCTAAACTTGTTTTTGATCTCTTCTGTGCATTTTCTTAAAAATACTTTATTAATACTTTTCTTTTTTTTGGCAGTAGGATTATAATCATCTCACAAAGCAAGAAGCAGAACTAGGATGAAAATCTAACAGCCTATGTTACCTTACTCAGTAAGTGCCCTTCAAATATCTTACCAAAGTTTCTTTCAGCTGTTCTTCTAATTTGACCTTCTCTTCAGTTAGTGTCTTTTCTGTAGAGGTACTATCTGTCTTCTGTTCATTTTGACTCGAGTCATCTTCTAAGTTCTGGCCATTATTTTTCTGTTTTGCTGCTGTACAGAGGAGTCTAGAAGAGGTCCTGAAGAAAATTCAACAATGTTAATGATTTTCACTCTTTAAAGAAAATGAAAGTGGACCTGTTAAAAATTTTCATTCATATTATTTGCCAGAAACATGAGAGGGAAAAAAATTGTCTACTTAAGTTAAATACAGTTAAACTCTTGGATATATAGAAGATGCTATGATTAAACTTGTAAATTTAGTTTAAAAAGTACAATGTTGTTGTTCAGTCATGTCCAACTCTTTGTGTCCCCATTTAGGGTTTTCTTGGCAAAGATATTGGAGTGGTTTGCTTTTTTCTTCTCCAACTCATTTTACAGATAAGGAAACTGAGGCAAACGGGCTTAAGTGACTTGCCCAGAGTCACATAGCTAATAAGTATCCAAGGCCAGATTGTACTTAGGAAGATGAGTTCAAGCCTCTTTAGATGCCAGTTTGATAGGATAATGGCTTTGCCCCTCAGAGCTAAAATAGTACCCTCCTTTGTTTCCCTTCTTTCCTGGATATTTAATCACCCAGGGTAGGCACTCACCCCCTAATGCCGGGCTATTCTAACCCTACCTCAAGTCTCTCCATAATCCAATTCGTTCTCTACTTAGCCACCAAAATGATCTTCCTAAAGTGCAAATCTGACCATGTCATCCCTTATTCAATCAGCTCTAGAGGCTCCCTATGGCCTCTTGGATCAAATATGAAATCCTGTTAGGCTCACAAAGCCCTCCAAAACCGGGCCCTTTCTTACCTTTCCAGTCTTGTTACAGCTTATAACATCCTCCAAGCCTACTTTATAAACCAGTGACATTGGCTTTCTTGCTGTTCTTCACATATGGCATTCCATTTCCTGATGGCTTACCCCCACACCTGGAATGCTCTCCCTTCTTATCCATTTCTAAGTCCTTCCTGGTCTTTCAATTCTCAGTTTAAGTCCTTCCTTTTGCAGTTAGCACTTTCCTTCTTTTATCTTCAAGGTTTCTTAGTATACATTTTATTTGTACATGATTGTTTGCTTATTGTTTTCCCCATTAGACTGTCCTTGAGATCAGGGACTGTCTTGCCTTTCTTTGTGTAAGTACTGAGGTGCTTAGCAAAGTGCCTGGCACATAGCTGGCACTTAATAAATGATAGTAGGCTGACTGTACTATTCATCAGCAATTATATATTGTCCTATTGTCTTGAACTATTAATTAAATTTTCATTTAATCATAGAATGTCAAAGAGGAAAAGAACCTTAGGTCCTCTAGTCCAATGTCTCATCTAACACAGGAATCTTTTCTCTAACATCCCTGACTGACAGTCACACACCAACACCTGAACACTTCTAATCAGTCAGTAAGCATTTGTTAAGTGCCTACCTTGTACCAGGCACTATGCAAAGCACTGGAGATATGAAGGCAGAAGACAGCCCCTGTCCCTGAGGAGCTCATAATCTAATAAGGGAGACAACATTCTAAAATATATGTACAAACAAGTTATATACAGGATAAACAGGAAATAATCAACAGAAGGAAGGCTCTAGGATTAAGAAGGATTGGGAATGGCTTCCTGTAGTACATGGGATTTAAGTTGGTTTGTGAAGGAAGCAGAGCGGTCCAGGTCTGAGGGACAGCCAGAGAAAATGCCTGAAGCTGAGAGATAGAGGGAATGGCTCAAGGAATGGCAGGGAAGCCAGTGTCTGGATTAAACAGTATGGGGTAGGGGGAAGGAAGTTCTAAGAATGTAAACATAGGTGGGGTCTAGGTTGTGAAGGGCTTTGAATACTAGAAGACTCAGTATTTTAAGGTTGAAGTGACAAATAGCCACTAGAGTTTAATGGGGGGAAGGGGCAGAAGTGTGAAAGGTGAAGAGTTGGGGGTGTGTGTGTGTGTGTGATCTGCACTTTAGGAAAATAATTTTGGCAGCTGAGTAGAGGATGGACTGGTGTGGTGAAAAACTTGTAGGGAAAGCATGAGGAAATGAGGGCCTAAAATGACGGGAACCATATTTGAGAGATGTTAGAAATCTGAAATTAATAGGTCCTGTCAACAGATTGTATATGAGGGGGAGGAAGGGGTGTGTGTGAGAGAGAGAGAGAGAGAGAGAGAGAGAGAGAGAGATTGATTAGCAATGAGTTGGGGCTAACACCTAGGATTTGAGCCTGGGTGACTGGGAGGATGGTGGTGCCCTCAATAGTAATAGGGAAGTCTGAAGGGGGCAGTTTGAGGGGAAAGATAATGAGTTTAGTTTTGGACATGTTGATATTGAGATGTCCAACAGGCATTTGAAGACTTGAAACCATAGGTCAGACAACTGACTTCTATGATAGAGTCCTATTCATAACTTCACAAGAGCAGCCTCATTCCATTTTGGGGCAACTCAAATTGAAAAGAAACTAATTTCTATATATTAGTTAAAAGAAATCTGCCTCCCTCTAACTTCTACCTACTGGTTTAAGTTTTCCCTTCTGAGGCAAGCAATTTATTCTCTTTCATTTTAAGAGCCAGATTACATTTTTAAAGACAGTTTAAGGCTAATCACTGGCAGAAACAATATTAAAAACTGTGGTATAAAGACTAAATTCAGAGCTCTTGGGGTTCAGAGCAGAGAAGGGGGAAATTACAGTAAAAGTTTGCTCACATTTTCCCAGTGATTTTCCCTAATGACCTTCTAGCTCAACCCATATGTGACTTGCTAAAAAAGACATTTCCACTCAAGCTTCACTTACTCTGTTCTTCACATCAAATTAGTCATTACATATTCAACACTACTCATGGCAGTGGAAGATGGTTTTGTAAAGTTTTAGTCTATGTAATGGACTGAACCTCATGATGGTAAATGCTAAGAGTGCCTTACATTTCTTTGTATCCCCTACAGTAGCACTGAACAGGAAAAGTGTACAATAACTATAGATTTGAACAAGCCCTTCCTGGGTTGGCTACATAGTAGGCTTTTCAGTAATTGTCAATTTAACAAGCTATCCTCTAACCAACCTAACTCTAAGATGCAAACAACTTTTAGCAAGGAGAGAGAGGTCAGGGTGCTTTCCCTTATGAACCTTGGACTATAGTGCACTTTTAACTGTTACTAGATGTAAACCCCTTTGTTAGTATAACATCTGTGTTCTTGATTTCCCAGTGTGAAGGTTAACACAGCTCAGCATTTTCACAACTGTCTCAAAAAGCTCCCTTCCTTCCTTCCTTCCATTTAGTGACCTCAGACGAAATAACAGTAACTCAGCACTACAATAGTGTCAATCGATGTTTCAGATGTACCAGAGAATTTCTGGGTATGAAATCTGCCTCAGTTGATCTAAAAATACTTTGTATTCCTCAAATGTATTTTAAATGAGGTAAATTATGTTCAGTGTACATGTGTATTTTCTCCTACTAGATTTAAAGCCACACTAGGGAACATTAGGGAAAGATTTTAATGATCTTTGTATCTTATCAAGAAACTAGCTCTGCAGAGTAACAGGTGTTACAATGTTGATTTGAATCAGCTCTTCCAGGTCTGGATAGAGAATAAGCTTGAAGTACCTGGAAGCAGAGATTATGTATGTGTCTGTTTGGTTTTTTTTTTTAGGCAACTGGGGTTAAGTGACTTGACCAGGATCACACAGCTAGTGTCAAGTGTTTGGTCTGAGGTGGGATTTGAACTCCGGTCCTCCTGACTTCAGTGCCGGTGCTCTACCCATTGCGCCACCTAGCTGCACCCTGAGATTGTGTTTCTAAAAAAATACTCAGAATGAAACAAGAGTTGACCCAAAACTTTCTAACAAACCTAACTCCTTTCAACAGACAGGTGAGAGTGGAGACCTCTCTGATCCTGGTTCTCGTTACATTTGAAACTATTTTACTACTCTACTGGACAGGAAGCTACACAACGGCAAGGGTCATGTCTTATTTACCTTTGTATTTTTCCTAGAACTGAGCAGTTATTGGTGAAATTCCATTTCACAACATCCTGCCTGTCCCACCCTACATCGGAACTTAAGATCCTTGAAGACTGAGATTATTTCATCTTTTTATCTCTACCATCTAGCAGTGCCGTAAACACTATTGGTATTCAATAACTTCGTTGAATTAACCATGTGAGCTCCGTTCATTATTAAATGCCTATTACATTCGAGATAAAAGTTTCTGGCTTCAAGGAGCTTATGGCCAAATGGGGAAATACAACATGCACAGATAAAGCTCACATAAAATAACACCTCATTTACGAAGTACCTTCCTCACAATCCTGTTCCCCTTACACAAGCACTATTGTTCCCATTTTGCAGGTGAGGAAAACGTAGCTCCAAAGGTTTCAGTTACTTGCCCAGGGTCACACTGCTAGTGTCAATCACAGGGCTTCCACCTTCAAAAGCCGGGTGCTCTTTCCACTACACCCTCGCTGCTGCTGCAAAAAAGTCCAGACAGAGTGCTATGAAGCAATCTGAGAACACCGCTGTGTTGAAGGAGCCCGTGCTTTTTCACTTGGCCGGGGTGGGGGGGAGATAGCCAGAAGTATTTTTTCTCCCAAGTTCAGGGTCAGGAGAGAGGATGAGACCCACACAGTTGGAAGGGATCGGACGTGTAGGTGGGGGAACGTGGAGCTAGGCTAGGAAAAGCAAAGGGATGGGGTGAAGAGGGGCTGGGAGGCAGAAAGAGGAAGGGGCCCGGGTGAACCCAAACCCGGGGCGGTCTTCGGCGCTGGTGCTGGCGCTGGAGGGAGCCAGGAAGGGCAGAAGAAGCGACGGGACAGACGAAGCCTGGGCCAAGCCGGAGCCGCTACCACCTCTGGGGAGAAAGGCCGGGCACTCCAGCCCCGCGGTTCCCAAAGCCCCTCACGGTCCCGGTAGGCCCCTTCCCTCGCAGTCAGACACCCAAGACTGCCTGTCTCCAACGACGGCGCGCGAGAGGAGGGTGACAGGAAGACGAGGACCCCGTCCTCCCCTTCAATGGAGAAGCCTGCAGCCTCTTACCGCAGCGAAAGGGCGATCGCCGGGAGAGTCCGTCGCACCAAACCGGAGCACTGCGCCGCCATGGCCACCCCCTCAGCCCTGACTTGCCCCTGATACTACGCACGCGCAACGGCACGCACGTTCACATCCACGGAATCTCGTCCTAGCGCGAGACAGATGCGCATCCACTCGGGCCCGCGACCACAGTTTTAACCAATTAGATCTTGTGCATCCCTTAATGGACAGAAGTCATTTCGCCAGTCCTTGTGTCCTATGGGCGGAGCTGCCCGGTTGTGGGCGGGGCCTGACGACGGAATGCGAGAATCTTCTCAGTCATTCCCCGTGGTTAGGCTGAGAAAGAGGGGAAAGGTGACGGGAGGGGGTGGGAGAGTTTCCGGGTCTGGGCGGAAGCGAAGCGAGAACCAATGCAGGGAAAGAGAATGGGGAGAGCCAGAGAACGGCTAGAGCACTGCACGTGCGGGTTTGCTGGGGGGGAATAACTGCCATGCCGTCGCCGGAAAGGACCTTTGCAGACATTCAGTCCTATCCTTTAAGTTGTATTTTGGAAGAAACTGAAGAAAAACGCTTGAAACTGAAATAGAAAACGCCAACAACTCAGTCCTGTGGGACCCAGCAGTCCCAGCAACTTGATGAGATAGGAAGGGCACGTGTCACCACCCCCTTTTACCTATGGAGAAACAGGTCAAATGACTTGCCCACGGCCACGGAGCTAGTAAATGTCCGAGCAGAGATATAAAATTTAGCATTCGGGTGCCAATTCACTTTTCAACAGCCAAACACACGTATACACTTCAGTACTGCAAGGTAGATGGGGGTATGGTGGAGAAGCCTACACCATGTGCTCCAGGACAGTTGGAGGAGCGAACAGTCCTGGCTGGGAGAATCCCGGAAGGGAAGCTTCTTGAAAGGTGGATGGAGAAGGATTTCAACAAGCAAAGACTGGGAGGTCACTGACTATAGCAATACACAAAGGCCAGATGAGGGCAGTGTGGGATTGGAAAACAGCACTGATTATATAAAGCACTGAATCTTATAAACCTTCAAAACGGTAAAATTAAATAGAACCGTTTTGTTTATATAGTAAAGGACTCATTTGAGTTCACAGAGATTCTGGAGAGTTTCTCATCGGGTGCCTTCAGCAGGAAGATGAATTGTACTTACCCAAGTGGAACTTAAGAACTTGGGCTCCCTTTTATGTATCTTCCTCAGCTGTAATGTAAGTTCTTTGAGGGAGGGACTCTTTTTTAAATTTGTTTTTATTTCCAGTGCTTAGCACAAATAAAGCCCAACACATTTTCTCATTCTCTCCCACCCCACCAAAGATCAATCACTGATCATATTAAGCATCGAGTTAAAAACCTAAACCGTTGAGTTAAATAGACAAGCTTTACTTAACACAGTAAGTGACTCAAATCTGAGTTCGCAGAGTGTAGAGACCATCTCACATCCTGATGTCCTATTGTTCGGCCAGACACCTATATACAGATTTACAATCTTACTTTGGATGGAGTCCCAGAAAGGCAGAAAGCTTAAATCTGCTCCACACAGTGCCCACCTGCTCTGAAGAGCTGGTAACTATCTTCTCATTGAGGTTGGACACCTGTGTTATCACTGTTGTCCATTCCAGAAATTGAGTCCTCATTGTTGTCAGTATTCTTATTGGCAAACATCTTGGGTCTCCCTTGAGAGACCCAAGCTGCTTGAGCAACTTGAGTGATTATACCAGAAACTTAGCTAGCAGTTTTATGTTACTTTGAAGTCTCCAAGACAGTAAGTGTTTCCCTTATAATAAATGTTAGCTATTATTAACATTGTTATTATGATACCTGGTTCCTACAGCTCCACCCTCAACAAAAAAGATTTCTTCAGATGACTCTTTCTTGGGTTGTTCAAATAGATCTTTTCTTTTTAAACTTGCTTGTGTTGTGTCCACAGCCATTTACCCCACCCTCCACCAGCATTTGAGTGATTTCCCATTTATGTAAGTACCTACTGAATTTTTTTGGAATCTGGAGATGAATTCAATATTCTTCTAAGTAGCTGGGTTGGGTTATGGACATTGCCCTGGCTGCTCCTTGGAGAGCTCCAAAAGGCAGAGAGAGGGAGACAAGAGCCATTGACGTGCAGTAGCTGCTTCCAGATTAAATAACCTGTGACTTGGAGGGAGAAGGGGAGCCCCTTTTACCTAAGTACCTACTATGTAGAAGGCTCTAAGTGAGACCTTGCTCTACCTTCTTGGAGCCAAACCATCTTGGCAGACAGGCTAAACCAGGTTGAAGGTAACCAACAAGCATCAAACCTGTCAGTGAGTTAGGAGGATGTCTCCCTCAAGCTTATGAAGAGTTCCCCTTGACAAATGGGCAGATGAGAACAATTTGTTGTGGCAGCTGAAGGAGGCACTGTGGAGCATTTAGAGCTTGGTCAGATATTGAAGATGCCAAGATCATCCACTGTATCCTGGGCCTCAACAGTTGTCTTGACTTTTATCTTGCCACTGGACTTTCACATCTCTGGAAGAGTGAGGCTGACAACATTGGGCAACTCTGCCTTACTTAAATCCAATTCACTGGCAAGTCAAGACATTACCCTAGAATGTCATTGGTCCTCTTTGAAAATGAAGGACAAACAACAGCATGATAAACCTGGGAAGAAAAAGAGGAATAAAGGAAATTATTTTAGACTTCAAGGAGTTTGTGTTCTACTTTGGAAGTGAGGGGAAAACAACATATATACAGGCAAATGTCATATGAAGTGGGAAATGATGGAGGTAAAGGGAAGATTCAGAAAAAGTGCTGGGGGACTATTTAGGGATCAAGAAAATACTTTGAGCTGTGAAGGTTCCATAAAAGGTGGCACCAGAGGTGAGAAAGAGAAGAAAGAAGATAAGGATTCTGAAAGGAAGAAAAGGGTTTAGAATCAGGGCATGGAGGGCAGTTTGTGTGAAGGTGCAGAAACAGAAATGTTGATTACTAGCAGATCTTGGTATTCCAGTGTTTAAAAAGGACTAATGTGAAATAAGGCTTGAATGGGAGGTTGGTGTTTGTGTTTTATCCTAGAGGCAAAAAAGAGCCACTTGTGATGAAGCAGGCCAGTAAATCAGCCAGTATTCAAAGAGGTGCCCTTTGGTACACTTTGCCATTGTGCAAACAGTTGAATTTTGGTGTGGCCTGAATCGTTTGCCAGCCTCATAGCATCACTCAGAATATTCACAGTGAGTGAACAGTTAGGGAATTTAAGAAGTCTCAAACCAATTTTAGAGGTACTTTGAAAATGAGAAGTTCTAGAGCCCCAACCAGACCATCGTGTCCTTTCCAGCTTTTATTAATTAGCACTGTTTCCCTATGTTTCAGTACTTTAAAAGATTCATGATTTTATCAGTCTGGGTGCTCCCATTTGTGCAGATCTTAATATTTCAATGCTTTGGTTAAGAATTTTCATGGGTTTCTGTGGTCAAAAAAAAATTTGTCCCCTAATGATCTGATAAGTCTCTATGTACTTAACTTTTTAAGACCAACACACACTCTGTCACCAAGCTCATAGTCCCAGTGACTAAACACTGTGCTCTGCACAGTAGTAAGTACTTGTGCCTCGTGTAGACAATCCAGAACTTGTGTTTCATAGAAATTACCTTTTAAGGGGTAGGTAAGTGGTGCAATGGATAGAGCACTGATTCTGGAGTCAGGAGTACCTGAGTTCAAATCTGTCCTCAGTCATTTGACACTTACTAGCTATATGATCCTGGGCAAGTCACTTAACCCTAACCTTGATTTCCTTCCCACCAAAAAAAATAGCTTTTTAAGAACCTAAGGTAACTCCTTGCCCACCTTGTGGCATCAAAGGAGAACTTTAATGAGAGGGAGATTATCAAAATCAACTCATCTCAATTTACAGATGGGAAAATAGATGGCAGAAAGGAAAAGTGACTTACCAAAGGCTATACAGCTTATTAGTACTAGAGCTTGGACCAGAACCCAGTTGTTTTTAAAGGCCAGGCCAATGTATTTTCCACCATTGCGCACTGCGTGGCCATACTGTAGAATATTTAACCTTGTTATGATAAAATACCAGTAGGGGCAGCTAGGTGGTACAGTGGATAGAGCACCAGTCCTGGAGTCAGGAGGACCTGAGTTCAAATCCAACCCCAGACCCAAACACTTGACACTTACCAGCTGTATGACCTTGGGCAAGTCACCTAACTCCAATTGCCTAAAAATAAAAAAAAATAATAATAAAATACCAGTGTTTCATGTTCCCCCAGTGAAAAAGAAATAGATCCTATAAGGGCAGATTTTTTTCTCTTTCTTTGTTCTTATATTCTTTTTCATCTTTATTTTTCTCTCCTCTCTCCAATGTGAGTTCAACCTTATTTGACAGACAGACCCAGAGAGGGGAAGGAACTTGATCAAGTCATGTGACAACTAAATGGCAGAGCTGGACTTAGCGCTCTGCTTGGTGCTTTCTGCACACAGTGGGCATGCCATCTAATGAAATTATTCAAGTGATGGACTGACATGTTAAATAGAATAGGGCCAAGAATAGTTAGTTACCTTGGGTATCAGCTTCCACTTAATCACTTAGATTTTGTCTTTTCCAATATAAAGATCCTTCTGCTTGGCAGAGAGAACAGAAGCAAAATAAAAATTGAGCAATTCAGTCTTCTCTCTGTTATAAGTTATCAGTTTCTCATCTCCCCAAGCAGAAGACCAATCCCTTCTTTTAACCTCCTCATTTTCCCAATATTGCTTTAACAAGCAACTTTTTTTTTGTTTTTGTTGTCCTTACCTTCCTTCACAAGCCTAATTCTGAATTTTAGTAGTAGTTACAATATTTTTTTCCAAGATCATTCTGCTCTTATGTTCATCCTCTGTTATCTGCACTTGCTTGCATCTTCTACACATTTTTTAAAAAAATCTAAATTGTTTGTGAAAGCCAGTGCAACCAAGATTAGAAGGAAGGTAGAAAATTGGGAAAGAATTTTTACAACCAGTCTATCTGATAACGGCCTCATTTCTAAAATATATAGAGAATTAAGTTAAATTTATAAGAATACAAATCATTCCCCAATTGATAAATGGTCAAAGGATATGAACAGGCAGTTCTCAGATGAAGAAATTAAAGCCATCTATAGTTATATGAAAAAATGTTCTAAA